CTGAGGGTGCACTCAATTCCATTGTCCATGATCTTTATCCCTGTTTTAAATTTAGCCTAAGTTAGTTGTTCTCACTGTAGATATTAATAGCATAATTCTTGCTAAGTATTTGTATTTCTTAAAAATGTAAACTCTTTCTAAACTGAAAAGGTCTCTAATATAATTAGATATGGCCTGACTCTGACATTTGAGACTTGTCTGCCTTTAGACTTATATTAGTGATACTACTGCTAATGTAACTGTTATTAATACAATGATATCCTAAATTACTGCACTACATTATCTGCACAAGGAAACTCTTTGGGTATTTAGCCAGAGCTTCATTCCCCTTGGATTGTGCAGCCAAGGCACTGGGAGAAAGGAAAGGAGAATGGACCAGAGCTCTGGTAGGAGGAAGGAGAACATAAACACCCTGGCAGCGGGTCCTCCAGCCTGTGTGGGTAACCAAACGCCAGCTCTTTTCCCTGAGCATTTTCCTGTAGGCTTTGCTCCAGACTTTTTTCCTGGGGGATATTTCTTTGCTGAGCCTGATTACTGCACAGCTTTCTTTTTGTTTTTGTTTTTGTTTTTTGTTTTCTTTTTTTTTTAAGAAAATGCACAGCCTGTCTGTATGTTCTTTTCCAAAGTTATATTATAGTAAGAAGTTTGTTTGTTCATTGATCAACCATCTTCTGAAGCTTTTGCTGTTTATTCAGACCAAGCAGTTTTTTCCCTGTGCTTCCAACACCACAGCCTGCCCTTTTATTTGTTCTGTTTTCTCTCGCTATTCAATTTATTCTTAAAAACCAGCCAGTGTCTCTAAAGTTGCATCAAAATCTTGATACTGTACTCTGCATTGAAGAGATAGGAGCTCTGCCAAGAAACTCTGGCTAACTATAGCAGAGATAATTTTCTGCTTTGTCTCATACCAGTTATAAGGTGGCACACAGACACAGCTCTGCCTTCCTTTCAGGAGTCTGATGAACTTCATCTTATAGCACTGCAGAGTAGCTTAGAAAAATAAGGAGACACTGCATTCAGCTAATACTGTGGGGAGAAAAAAAATACTGCAACTAAAGGTAATTTGATGAGCAAGAGATCTGTCAGACCACCAGAATTAACAAAAGGATTTTTAATGTTGCAAAGAGATTTTGTTGCCTAGCTTCAAAAGGGCAAGTCTTGCTAGTGTATTACTAGACAACAGTAGCCCTGATACTCATACGAGGAAAGCTCTGAAGCTTCTCTTACACACAGTCCATACCCCAAGGGGAAATGTGAAAGTCTGACTGAGATTATATAACTTATGTGGGGCATTGAACTAGGCCCTATGTAGGTCTATAGGTTTCTTTGAATAGTAGAAACAGTTCATGCAGTACATAGTGCTTTTTCCCCTGTCTACTTGCAAGGAGTACATGAACACAAATTATTCTGTAACTTTGTAAAAGCCAGTTATACATACTGTCAGCAAAGTAAGTTTTGTTTCTTAAGGTCAGTAGGTGAGAGTTAATCAGCAAAATAATGTGATAGAATGGAAATGTGTTTGCAGTTGAGAACTGTGCATCAGGAATTTGAGCTGTGACAAAATTATGAATTTCTTTTTTATAAATTCTAAGAAAAAAAATTGCGCAGATGATTTTCAGAAGTGACTCAACCTTTTTACAGACAATGGGTTTTAACGTGGTGAATTTCTACCTTTCATTTTGAAAACACAATTTATAATCCTGGGTTGCTTGGAACCTTTTGAAAGTGCTATTTTCAGTGCCTTAATTACTTCTTTGTAAAACGAAATCTCTATGGTATGATATGAAGTTAATTTTAATTTTCTGTGAAGGTCTCCTAGCTTTTCAAGTGTTAAAAGTTAGTGTTAAACATCCCTGGCAGTGTTAAAGGCCAGGTTGGACAGGGCTTTGACCTACTTCATCTAGTGGAAGGTGTCCCTGCCTATGGCAGAGGGGGTGGAACTAGATGACCTTTAAGGTCCCTTCCAACCCAAATCATTCTATGATTCTAGGTGCTTTGAGATTGAAAAGTAAATTTGCTTTTTGCAATTGCACACAGAATTACTGCTGTATCCTTTTTAAACCTAAGGGAATTGCATCCTTCTGAAGTGAACACACACTACCAAAGGCTCAGAGTTCATGCTGATATTGAACATAGCATAATCATGTTGAAGATGGGTGAAGATGGTGAATTAAATTCAGCTACCAAATTTTGCAATTATGGGCTCTAAGGAGGAAGAATCTGGAAACTACTTAAGCAGATTGTGCAAATTGCTAGGTGATATATTGTACTCAAGCCTTTAATCTGAAGTAAAGCTGTGAGCCCAACTACTTTCTAACTGCACCTTCAACAACCTGGTTCATGGTGCAAGTAATATGTGTTAGGAGAAATCAATCCATGCATGTAGAAACACAGCCTGGTTCCTGGCCACCATTAATATTTCCACTGAAATCTCATTTTACTGGAACTAAGATCCATGAAAACAGCACATTTTATTCAAAACAAGACAATACTGGTATTGACAAAGCTGCTAAGCTAATGAAAACAATCAATTGTTTTTTATACCATTATGCTTTTATTGGATTTATTTTGGATTAAAACAGTAGTTTCACTTAGCCAAGACCTGAGTCCTTCTCTGTTTTCTCATGGTTTTATACATCTAGATACTTTCCTGCATCCAGTCAAAAAATGAGTAAAATAGTAATTAAAAGATAAAAAAAGTTATAAGTTAAGGCTTTGATATACTGTAGCAGAAAGTGCCTTTCTGAAGAATAGTGCAGTTTAGGCTGGTGGGTGATTTCTGTATGTAACGAGATGCACAGTGAAACTTCCGTCACTGGGAATGAACAGCCAGAGAGAAGAAAATGTTGTCCAAAGAACTCACCCTTCAGATATCAAAATAGTAATTGAGTTTACAAAAGACATTGGAAGCACTGGTATTACTGTCTAAGTGTTGTGGTTGGGTCTTCTGGTTGCTAAACACTTTGAAAATAAATTGCTTGTTGGCTTTGAAATTGTCCTATACTGGTTTTGTTTGGTCTGGATGCAAAAGAGCTGAATTCCTCTTTACACTTAATAAGCTAGCTTATTCTGAAAAGTGGCTTCTCATTCGTGTTATAAAATCAAATGCCAATGTCCTAATGCGTGTGTTTGCCACCTTTGCTATCCTTTTCTTTAAAAGTTTGCATAGATGTTTCCTAGAAGAGCATATGAGAAAGCTAAAGAGTTCTTGGGGGTAAGGGATCTTTGTAAGATTTGTGTTTAAATATATGATGCACCGTTACTTTTACTTTACTTTACGTTGTACTTTTTACTTTTCACTGTTACTTTACTAGTTAAGTCAATGGGGTAGGCTCCATTCCTATTTTCTCTAAATATAATTTATTAGAATTGAGATACTTCTTGAAGACCATTAAGAAGCAATAATGAAGTAAAACTTCAATTCAGCAATACATGTAGAGAGGTGTATTAAGTGTTTCATGGTATTGCTAGACAGAGTTTTGTTTAAGAACAGTGCTTTTAGGACAAAGAGTAGATCATGTCAATATGACAATCCACATGCTTAATGTTAAATATATTCTGAGTTACTGCTTTGGTCTTCGAGCTTATGCCTAATAACCTACCCTTGATGGTAGGTAGGGCTGTGGCAGGAAAACTCAACTATGGATGGCTGAGCAGCTACTCAGATGGATATATGCACACCGTTCAAATGCAGAGCTTTATGGAGCAGCCATGCAGTTGCACTTAAGCCTCTGACCTTAGAGGCTTTTTTGCGGCCAGATTTTTACACCCAAAGATAAAAAAATAAGTCACCATTCCACTGATTTCAGTTCTATGTCCATTTCAGCTTTCACAGGAAATCCAATGTGCTGTGGTTGATCATATCCAGTCCCTGGTGAAGTCAGAGAAGAGTCGCCAGGTGATGTGTGGATCTGGCTTGCTGAGCACCATCATAACCTGCTGTCAGGATGCCTTCCGCAATGAGAGCCATCCACTGCATCTGCCCCTCACTAGAGTGTTTGAGAAGCTTGCATCACAGGCTATTGAGCCAAATGTGTTAAGGTATCAGATTGTATCTGATGGGAACAATTTGCTTTAGTGGTGCAAATTTTTTTGAAGTTTGTGTAATAGTTAGCTACTTTGTGTAGTGCTCTAATTCAGCAAGACTCAGCTTTTTTTTTCAAGTGTCAGTTAATACTAGTTATGTATTAATCACAGGATATGTGCCTAAATGACTTGTTGAAGATAGTATGAGTCTGTAATGTTCTGCTGCTTCATCTCTGCAGGGGTTGTGAAGCTATTTACGAATGGTAACTAATTAAGTAATTGCAAAACAACTAGGGCTACTCTCTCTTGTTATTCAAATGGGAAAGCTGTTTCTTGAAGTGACTTTCTCTTAGCTCAGATCTGACAGATATGTGGTCTTGTTTCTCAGCCTCTGTTGTTTTGACTTTGAGGATGTACTTCTTTCTTTAATGCTAACTAAGAGTACCTAATAGAGATCAGTGTGCAGATGCAATTGAATATGCAGTGAAAGGCTGGATTTGTTTTACTCAAAAATGGAACAGAATTTCTTTGGGAAAAACAAACACCTAAAACCTGCCAAAGTAGTAGTATTCAAACTTATTGCTGGAGAAAATAAACCTTGATACCTTGTTTTCCTTTTTATATTTTTTAATTTATTTTTTTTTTACTTTCTTTCTTTTTTTTTTCATTTTAGGCAATTTCTTTGGTTGGGAAGTTCTCCACCACTACCTTCCAGGCCCAGCAGAAGAAAGGCTGAGATCCTTTCATGTCAGGGTAGTGATTCAGCTAACACAGATTGGAATGAAGGTAAGCACACAATGGACAGCCTGTTGCTGGTTCAGTAGGTTGCTCCAAGACAGTCACAGTAAAGGTGGAGTATGCCTGGCTGTCTTAGATTGGGTAGTGCCCAGGTTGGGTGCTACTTGATCAACACTGAGCTTATCTAGTGATCAGCACAGACCAAATTATAATACATGTGCTCAAGACAGATGATAATGTAGGCTCAGTCTTTGATGGATCAGACATGTAAGTGATCTATAAAAATACTTATCACATTCCACAAACCAAGTGGAGTGTCTCCTGGGCTTGTAGCATGTTTTCCCTGTGGATTATAGGTAGAAATTGAATAAAAATGTGAATGAGGAGCACTGCTTTTTGTAATATTTTGCTAGGGATATCGTAGTAGTCTGTCTTGCTTATACAGGCCATTTTCCATCCAAGTCCTTTCTCTGTTCTAGCATATTCTGTAGGTGAAAGGCTACAGCAGTAGTATTTGGTGCTTAAACTACTTTCATGCCTATGAGACACCACATACAGCATGGTACAAATTTGAGTCTTACGTTCTTTGCAGTTATCCTTCAGATCCCCTCCCACATGTTAGTTTTAACTATTCTGTTATGGCATAATTCAATGGTCTATGTAGAAATAAAATGGAACAATGTGTCAAGAACTATTTTTTACCAGAGATGAAGTTTGGAGCTGCCTGAAGATGTGTGGGGAGAAAATATGGCTGTCAGTTCTGTAAGCTCATTCTCCTACCAGCCTCCCATTTTGAAATTCCATCAGTACAATATTGCTGAGGATTTCTGCAGGCTGCTGAGGATGTGTTATTTGAAGACCATGCAGAGCTATTCTTTGCAGTTATGAATTGAACATGGGCGAAGCCTGTGACTGAAAAAAGTATTTCAGACACTGATCTGGTTAGGCATTATGTTGATCTTCTAGGTTCAGAAAAGGACGTGATGGACAATAAAACTGATCCTCAGACAGTCGTGCCTGTCAGCAGCTCTCGTTCGGTGCCTAGGGGATCTGCATTGGCACTCCAGACTGCAATGAGTCTCATCTCCATGACATCACCTAGAAACTTCCAGCTCCGCAACACTGCTTTGGCTCCATCGTTTGTGGAGTTTGACATGTCCATTGAAGGATATGGGTATTGCTGCTGTTGCTTTTCTCTTTAACTGCTCTGCAGTCCTTGAGCTCTTATTCTGGACACAAAAACTAATCACTTCTTTCTCATTCTTAGTCAGTCCTTGTGCCCTATCACTGCCTTCCTTACAGCAGTGTTGCCAAAATGTTTGTTATTGTCTTATTGCTGATAGCTTAGGATCTGCCTTGCTGCCATGATTCTGCACTATTAAGTCACTGGTAACCTTCATGGAGGATTTTACCTTTCTGATGAACAGGTGCTTTCTTGTTTTTGTAGGTGTTTATACCTCCCTACCTTGGCTACTGTCATGGGACCCAGTGCAGAGAAATCTGTCTCAGGAGGAATTGGCATTGGTAAGCACTTTGACTCACCTACAGCTTCCTGAAACCACTCGACATTTGTAAGAAATGGCATCAAATAAACTATGTATGTCAATACAGTTCTGTCTCTGTGTTCCACTCCAGCTCTGAGCTGTATAACTCAGCTAACCAAAATGTAGTATCAGATGCAGCTTAATTGTATGATGCATTAGCTTTAACATTAGCCATACAAACTTATCAGGCTGCTAAGAAAGCAGTCTTAACAAGTAAGAGCTACCCAGATTTAGAGTAATAGGGTAGTCTCCCGTGGAAGGAATAGAAACTGTCACTTAACATGAAATGAGATTCTCCTATACATCAAAACAATCTATTGGGTGAACTGGGAAATGGCTGTAGCTTTTGCTTCCTGAATTTTGTGAACTTTGATAAAACTCATTTCTGGCTTAGTGCTTCCCAACTGATGAGCTTGATGGCATGGAGATCTAGTAGTCAATTCTCATCAGTCAATTTTAGGTCATTTATACATGTGCACATGCTCATATAAGCAGTCTCCATGATATTGAAGATAGACAGTGAAATCTAATACAACAGAACAGAAAATAAACTTCATATTCTAATGGTGGTTCTTACAAGGTTTGGGCTACAAATGAAACAGAAAGCAGTTTGTTAATGTAACAGGGTTTACTAATGTAACAGGAAAACCCACTCCCTTACCACATTCTTGTTTCCTGTCTACAGGCACCAGAATGTTCCCTCCCTCAAATGGCCTGACACTCTCCTGCTGGTTTCTCGTTAGCAAGTTTGGTTTGGTGCACAATAGTCACCCACTCCGTTTCCTCACGATTGTAAGGCATATGTCAAGAACAGAGCAAGAATTTGTTTGCTTTTCAGTAAGCTTCTTCCCACAAGACCTTTCTTTGGTCATTTCCACAGAAGAAGTAGAATTCCAGTCACTTGGTAAGGCTTTTCTCAGTCAAGCTGCAGTGCTGTGTCCCCTGATTATCTGGATTTTTTCATTAACAAATTTCCTCTTCTTCTAAGTACGCAGGACATTAATGAGACTTTTTTTGTCTTTGGTTTTATTCTGGCAGCCTGTTGAGATTGTAATTCTTGGTCATATTTCAGTTTTAAGTTTGCTGTAAGCATTGAAAACTATTTTGTGGCCTGCAACGCAGGATATAACTTACAGATATCCTAAGGAAAACTTTTGGATGTCAGTTATATGGTTGTGTGCAGTTGTGGGGACTGGTCTTGAACCAGCTTGTCCTTGCCTGTTCTGTGTGGCAGTAGGCAGGTCTGGAGAGTAGGACTGAGGAATTTAGGAGTGATCTAGCTTCCTAATCAAACAGCTTATTTCCTCTCCTCACTTTTAATTGTTTCCTACCATGCCAGATGATAATTTTTTTTCCTTATAGACATTTACCCCTTTCTCCTTATTGAGTACAGTAGGTACTTCAAATGTGAATGTGATTGAACATTGTAGAGGAGGTTGGGAATGGAATGGGAATAACAGCTGGGATTTTTCATGCACAGCTGACGCTGTGTGAGTGCTCTGATTCCCTTGGATGATCTTAAAACTCCCAGCTTGCCTCTTTCATAAAAACTACAAATTAATGTACAGAATTTTATCATCTCATAAATTCACTGGGAGATTTTTTCTGTGTCAGCTAACTTGGTGAATATCCAGAGGGATTCTCCTCCTAGAGAATATGTTGCATTTGTCCTAGTCCACTCTAGTTTTGCAGCATTGAGGCAGCCAGCAGGTGTTACTTGGGAGGACAGGATAGCATAATGTATATTGGAGGGATCTTGCAAATTGTGCAGTCTCAGGTCCTAATAATGGACCTTTAGGGAATGTTTTAAAGATGTTGAATGGGATAGCACCAAGTGACAATATACAGACAGAGAGAGCTGTGTTCTTTGTGTCACCTTTGATAGTTGTGTTCCAGAGGCAGAGGAAGGTGAGAGAGACTTTCTGTTGACTGCTCCCTGGTTTTGCTGTTACAGATATCATGGAACCTGAGGACGAGGTCCTCAATCCCTCCCCATTTCCAGGACAAGTCCAGTTTGGCTGTGGCAAGCTGCTGGTCACCAGCCAGTGGCATCATCTCACAGTGACAGTTGCTAAGGAAGCAAAGAAGAACTGCATTGTGTCAGCTTATATAAATGGTCAGATGCTTGGCTCTGCAAAGGTACAGGCTCTCTGCACAGACCTTGTGCCTGACATTTACCTTTCATTGCTTTTCATTCTCATCTCCCTGTGCACACTCCATGACGTTTCAGTATTAAGCTGAGACTTGCAGCATGATGATTTACATATATGACACATGCCACTCTGTGCATACAAACTAGGGTATGAGCAATTGTAGCAATTTCTTTCTTATACCAAGTATTTGTGCTGCTTTTCAGAAGTATATTATCAGCTTATACTAATGCTTTGAACTAGTTTACCTCACCCCCCACAGCATGTAGATAACCAGGGTAATTTTGAGTGTTGACAGTCATCTGAGAATTGGGGTTACCTAGTTTGCTGGTAGCTCAGGGTTATGTTCATGAAATCCAGTAGTACCCTTAGGCCAAAATTTTCTGAATTGACTAGCAATTTTGAGGGTATCTCAGTTTAAACACAAGATTTTCACAAACTGTCAGCTGCAGGAAGTACATCACATTAAGGTGTGACCAGTGAATCCTGAACCAAAAGTACTTTGGATTTAAGCTAAAACCTGCAAAGGTGATGACTTATGTAGGGACCCTCCATTTTTGAAGAAAGGCCTGGAAAAGCAGAAGGTCACAGAGGATTAAGCTTCTGTGACTGGCCAGCTCTTTGCAAGAATCCCAAGATGGGTATAATTTCAATCATCTTACATGGGTATGTTTCAAACTGTCCTCTTCCTGTTACCCCCATTGAACAATCAGTTGATGAATTAGTGGCTTTTTTCCCACTGGCACTCTAAGTATTCAGGAAGATAGATGTTCCTTGGGTTAGTTGTTTCGTGAGAAAGCTCTTGAATTAAAACAATAATATTTTTTTTCAAGATAATAGAAATTAAATAAATGTTCCAGTTAGGAGAAACTTGTAAATTTCAAATGTATCAACTCATGAGTTCATTGCAAATGTTGGTGTAGCTAGTATTTCCCCTAATGTGCCATTTCTTGTGATCTTACTGCACAGGAATCAATTCTCAAATGGCGAATTTCTCAGGTTGTACGAGATATCACAAGAAAGTAATCTGAATGCACCTGAAGGGTTAATAATCTACAGGATAACTGAGAAAAGCCCTGTTTTATACTATCATTATTATCATGCTCCTGGTTTTGAAGTTAATCTGAAATTATTTCTGAGATTTGATTTTTGGATTTTGAATGCTCAAGGCTGGCAGTGTTGAAAACGAAACCTATCTCTATTGCAGCTCTGGTTAGTATAGTATGGTTGTTTATTTTGTTTTGTAATAGAATCCTTTTATTAATTAAAACTTTCAACCTTTGTCTCTTCCTTCTTGTTCCAATATTTCAAATCAATTTCGGTACATGCAAAGCTCGCTTTTGTGTTTTATACTTCCCTTGTAAAAGCAACCTGTTTAATTCCAAATATTCTCTTTCCCATACTTGAGAAAAATGATCTGTCTTCTAAATACCTTTTGGGGCCTATATCCTTTTCAAGAATGAAAATTTAATTTAATTTGCCTTCCTTCAAATGAGACTGTGAAAGTCATCAATAAAACTAGACATAAGCATTGCAATTGATTAAAGAATTCACAGCAAATGTGTTTAACATACGATGAAACAGCTCATAATAAATAAACCAAACCTTAGTAAATAAAAGATTGTCCCAGTGCTGGGGTGTCTGACATGATGCAAGTCTTCATCTTGATGTGTACAGTAAAGAAAAGATTATGTAAGAAATTAGAATTGCACAAAGGCTGTTAACAATTTCGAAAGCTGTATTTGTGTGGTTTACTGCATTGCTTCAAACCTAATATATGTTCACCTAAGTATCAAGTCCTGCCTCCTAATATTGACCAGCCCTGTCTTCTACATTTCAGCAGTCAGAGATCAGTAAATGCTAAGAGTCTGTCATCCTAACAGTAAATTGTTAAAAGCAGGGCTAAGCCCTGAAGTACAGTATAGTTTCTCTATACCAGAATATTAAAATTACTTGCTATTAGAGCTGTCCACATTTAAATAAAATTAGAGATTCAATTTAGGGGGCTGAAGCCTTATTTTGATTAAAAAAAAAAATAAAAATCAATGTTCCGAATTCCTAAGCTGTGTTGCTTTCACTGAAGCTAACTGATGCACTTGGACATTCTACACTCTTAAAAACCTCTTTATTCCCTGGATGCCTAGTGCAAGGTGTGGTCTGTAACTTGTCTTTCTGTATCGAATGTCACAGTCTGTGTTATGTAGCTTAGAACAGGAAAAATAAGTCTGGGATCAATACAGGGTTTTTCTTTGCCAACACTTGAAATTATTTTGACTGTGCTTTTTGAACAAAAAGTAGGCTTGAATTTTCCAAAATACTTACAATTGTGAAACTTCTGAAAGTCCAGTTTCTAAACAGTAGTTGATAATTGTGTTGCACAGCTGTCTGAGACTTCATTGAGGAAAGACATGGCAGGCAGTACCTTCCAGGGAAAAGACCTTAAGGTACCCCAAAATTATTGAGTCCCCTAAGTGAATTCCTCCTCTGTTGCAGATGCAGTATCTTCAGCCCTTACCAGGTAGCTGTATTTCCATGGAACCTTCTTCCTTTATTGATGTCTATGGCTACATAGCTACTCCCCGAATTTGGAAACAGAAGTCGTCCTTGACCTGGCGCCTTGGCCCTACATACTTGTTTGAAGAAGCCATCTCTGTGGAAACCATGGAGGTGATTAATAAGCTCGGCCCACAGTATTGTAGCAATTTCCAAGCAGTACAGCTTCAAGGTATGTGATAATTGTCATCCACCAGTATTTGTTAGGCAGTGCTTTTTTTATTCTTATAATCTGCTATTAGTATTCCAGCTGTGCCTAAAACTTGCTCTAAAAGCCTGGAACTCTGTGTTACTGAGTGGTGTACATGACTGTAGTAAGACACCATAAGGATCTTATAACGTACTGTAAATTGGGCAGAAAAAGAAAGCAGAAATCAAGCAGTAGAGAGAGATGGAGAGTAAAGAAGCATAACATTTGCTTGAGATGTAAGACTGAAATTTCTGGTGGACAAACTTTCAAACAGCAACTTTAACTGAGATGTCCTGCATTTATGGTGTTACAGAAAAAACACATGAGAAAAAGAAGCATTGTCTTTAATTGCAAATGTCTGCAGAGTAGGAGAGAGCACAGGGGAAAGAGGGGTAGGGGAATAAGTTACATTCTATTTAATGAAGAGGCTTTTTAACCAAAGTATACTGCGAGTTTCAATTATTAAACAGGCAGACAAAACATTTCAGTTATTGATTACTGTTTGTTCAACAAGTAGTACATTCACCCACTCACCTCTGTACTAGAGCTTGGGATGAAATGGGATGGTCATCTCCTGTTTGAAAAAAGCAGAATAATCTCATCTGGTGATGCTCCAGCCTGAAGCAAGAGAGTGCTGTCTACATAGACAAAAAAAAAAACCCAATAAAATCTCCAAGTCAAGCTTGGGAAGAGGTTGTTGAAAGAGAAATTAATATCAAAATAAAGCCCTAAAATAATATTACTTCTAATAGAAGTCAAAAGGCTAAATTTTTGAAGTGTTCAGTCTTTATGAAGTCTGGGATGCTTGTTCTCTGCATGGTGGTCTTCCTAGCTGAACTTCAGTACTAATCATGGATTGTGGCTGTCTGATTCCAGCAATGCCCTGATGCAGGGAAATCACAGGGCATTATATAAGATGTGATCTCATAATTGTGAAATTATCTCTCTCTCCCCACCCCCAACTCTTTTTTTGGGGGCATGCAGGGGAGATACAGGAGCAGAGGGAGAAGGTGGTACCTAATATCTCCCTAGTCTATCAAAACACCCAAAGAAACTTTTCTAATGGAAATTTTTACTTTAAAAAATGTTGGCATAAACCCCCAAATATTATGATTCATTCCTTAAAATGAATTTAAGACCTTGTTGTGAACAGCAGTTTGAATTGATTCAGTGGTGTTGTGTTCCATCTCCCCAGTATCTCACTAAGCAGCAGCAGTTGTGCAAAAGCTTAGCCATAATTCTGTGATCTACTGGAAGGCAAATAGGTGACACAGTCTTTGCACATTTACTTCTAGTTAATCTTCATGCAGAATGTAAGCTAATTCTTTTTGCCTGTAAGGCTGTGTCACCAGCATTATTAAACAGTTTCATAAATCAACTGCTTTCCCAGTCTATAAAATTGTCAAAAATACCAGATTTTTTTTTTAAAGATACACATAGTTTTTCCAAGTGCAAGCAGAAATAGAAAATTATTGAAAGAAAAGTATTTGAGAATTTCATACAATCATTAAACTGCTGAACTGGTAATTTTCAGAAGCTTCCCATATGTTGTGAGTTGGAAGCTCTGACTTTTGCCTCTATCCTTTTTCTTCCATATGAGTCTTTGCTCCTGCTCCTCCTGAGAAAGCTCCCATTAAAATGGAAGGTCTCTGTAATGTTTTCTTTGTCCAGAAAGTTTGTTTATATTGTGTGGACAGAGAAGGTTTGTTCTGGACTCTACTGAGCTTTCTGAGGTACTGGGAGAGGTTGCAGGATCTACACAAACCAGTGACCAGAGGAGACAAGTAAAGCACATCTCCTACTGGTGCTAATGCTGGCAAGATGCCATGGATTGTGTTGCAAAGGGCAAATGTTTTTGTCTGATTATAGTTAAATCAAAGTCAATTTCCTATCTAAACATTGGTTAACTCCAGTTATTTTTCATCTCCTTCTGTCTCGTGCTGAGGATGCAAAGTTCCTTCAGAGGCTTATAGTGTCTTGTTTTAGGTGAGGACCAGTACAGTGATCATAATCCAACTTCTCTGCTGGCAGAAGAAAAGATTTCTTTTGGGATCAATGCCATGTGCTCATCTCTTACTACAGTCCAAGATATAAAGAGCTTCTACAATGAAGTGGATGGCCGGCTGATAGCCAAAGAGGTCACAACTTTCCCTCATTTTTCTTAAACACACTTTTTCTAGTTTCTAGAGCAAATTTTGTGACTTTGTCTTAGTTGTGCACCTTCAGTGATCCCTCCCCCACCCAAGCTTCTCTTCCCATTCTGTAACTCCATTCTACTCATCTGTGTAGAGGAATAGATTGGACAGTGTAAGCACAATGTTAAAAGCCTTTCTTGAAGCAGCAACAGAAGCCATAGTTTTCAGGCTTAATGATAATTCATTTCAGTCTGTGATTTCACAATGCTTTCAAAACGATCTTTCACATGCTATTCAAGGATTCCTACCAATTCCAGGCCTACTGACATGTCAAAGAAATGGGATTGTGGGAAATTCTAGGTGGGTGAATGTTTGTCCTGTCAATTTTGAAGGAAAAACAAAATAGTTTTCATAGTTTAAAAGCAATAAAATAAGCTAAAGTATTAAAGTGTCTGCTTGTTACTTTTTGTCTCCCTAGAAATATGAGGGTTTTTTTAAGATGTCTTTTATCTGTTTTAGATTGGGATTAACTCTCGGGACAGTTCAACTCCAATATTCCTAGCTAAGAATATTGCTGGACACCTCTCAGGTTCCTTGCGGACAATTGGGTCAGTTGCTGTGGGCCAATATGGTAAATGCACTATGTTTTAATGTTTCATATTTTTGAAGAGTTGGGCCTTTCTCTGTCCAGTTACAGATTTAGTCCATGTAACTTGCTGGTAGATTAACCCTGCAATTTCCTAGGGATAAGAGTGTTCCAGTCCTCTCCGGCAGCTACTAGCCTGAACTTTATTGGAGGTCCTGCCATTCTCCTGGGTGTCATTGCTATGGCCTGTGATGACCACACCATGTATGCAGCTGTCAAAGTCCTGAGCTCCATCCTGAACAGTAGCCCAATGAGTGAAAAATTGATGAGGCACATGAATGGTTACCAGGTAGATAACTCTTGTTCATTCATTCTGGTTGCACTCTTACCCAGAACCTATCAATGGTAATAAACCAAACATACCCTGGCTCTTGGCACTTATGGTTGGAACTTAACCATAAATTAAGTTAGTAAGTTAAGTTAGGAGATCTTTGAGAGGGGGATATAGGATAGGGCTCTAAATCCTGTGTTTAGTCTCAGGGAACCTCTGTAATGGTGTATCTGCTGATGGAAAGGTGAGGACAGATGTGTCCTGATCTGACATAATTTAGTAAACTAAATAAGACAGTGCAACAGATTTGCGAGTTGTGCACCCTTAACCTTTTATCAACACCCTCCCACAAAAGACCATTTCTCAGGCAGATCTGCTCCCTCCTCTTGGTTCATCCAGCCTAAGATTGCTCTTTACAAGACTGCCCAGTGTAGGACTGACAATGAAATCCATTGGTTAAGTCTTCACTGTGTATTGGAAACTGTTCTGATATAAATAAGTGCTGTCTGGATTTCATTGATTAGGTCTTTCCTAAATTCACTTTCAAACCGGAAAGCTGTGCAAACTGAAGAGCTTGGATGTATCTAAGCACTATATATATAATATTGCATGAGTTAAGGCTCACGTGTGAAGTTTAAGTTCAGCATCATTTACTTTATGCTGTGTAGACTAAGTAGTCTTGTGGAACAGAGATGACTCTTTAACAGAGACGGTTCCAAATGAGACTCTTAACATTAAGGCTTCATAAATCATTTATTATAAGCTTTCCATTTTCCCAATTTTTGAACTGTTCATAAATTGATCCTAATTCATATGAATACATTTATAATACTTAGATATTGCTTGCCCAACCCTTTCATGTAGGTGAATGCCAGTCTGCAGATTGTGTAGAAGCTGTTTCTTTCAACTTTATGCTATACAGTGTTCTTTCCATGTAACTGATCATCATGTTGTAATGGATGCTCTTTGGTTGTCTGAACCTTTTTTTTTCTTTTTAACAGCCAATTAACAAACATGTCTTTATGTATTTTCAAATGAATGTCTATTCCTCCTAACCTATAAAAATGTAGTGGTTTTCTGAACATTTTTTCTCACTGTGTCAGGAATTCATTGAATAATCCAAGATAGACTCAGTTGAGAAACTGTCAATGTTTCACACAGATGTCTCATTTGAAGAAGTCGATATTCATATTTTTTCAAACTAACACCATTTGCAAGCAACTAAGAATACACCCATGAAGAATCGTGTAGAAAACCTACTGTGGTTATTTACAATCATACTTGTATGTTGCTTTTTATAAATTCCATTCAGAAATATATGGTGTGTATTTTGCTCCTGTTCAATGCTAGAGAGCTGTCAAACTCCTTCAAAAACTTACCCTTTTACTTACTACACAAAATTTTACATCTGGACTGAAATCTTCACTTTCTTCATGATGCTTATATGCATTTGTCTGGAATTAAAAAATAGTGTAACATGTTAGTTTATAAATACAAATTTATTCTCAGCAGATACTGAAGTTGGGATTTTTTGTTGGGTTTTGGGTGGGTTATTTTTCAGTTGCTGGCCTATCTATTGAAGATGAAGACACAGCTATTAAACAACAGGATTTTGCAGTTAATTTTCTCCCTAGTGGGCACAGCTGAGCTTGGCTTTGAGTCTTCAGTCATAAAGAATTATAGTGCATTCCAATATGTTCTCTGCAACTTTGAGGTAAAACTGTTGCTATTACTTTGTGGGTTTGGCGTTTTTTATTCTTTTTTTTATTTTTATTTTTTTCTAATGGATTCATAGTGTGAGGTTTGGTTTGTTTATATCACCTTCTGGATCCAATATTTGGGATGGGGTGGTGCATGGTGGTTTTCCATGCTGTAGCTTTTGGTTCTCTGTCACCATGGCTTCTCACTGTCCTTTGGTGCAGTTTCTGGAGTGTTCTTGCAGACCCTGAGGGTCTGCTCCTCAGGGCTAGCTCAGAAGCAGCAACTCCTTACACTGGTAGGGATTTCCCAGTGCCTGCAAGCTGTCATTGCCAACTGAAAGTTTATGTTGTTATCCTCCCTGAAATACTTGTAACTGCCACAGGTACTGTCCTTTCAGCTCAGTAGAGCAGTAAAACCTCTGCTTTCCTTTGTCTTTCAGCTTTGGATGAAAGCACCAGAAAATCTTGACCTTGTTCTTTTTTCACATCTTGTGGAAATCCTGCAGTCCTCCAGGTATATACAGCTAGTGTCTGAATCAGAAACGTGGGAAAAGCTCATCTGTAACCCGAAGCTGGAACTGTGAGATGGATATTAAGGGTCCTACTTGGAATCAGTGAACTCTGGGAGCGAATCATTCTTACACCACTCTTTCAATGCTGGAGTTAGTGATCTGATAAGCCCCTGAGATGGCTGTGGGGTCAGATTGGGAAAAGTTACCTCATAACCTGGTTCACATGGAACCCTGCTATACAGTGAAAGTTTAAATGTCTGCTGGGGAGGGGAAATCTAAGTGCTTGGACTGAGTGTGAAACAATTAAAATAAAAATATAATTGAAGGTGTGTTTAAATCCAAAACACAACCCAGAAAGAGTTGTTAAAACTATACTTTTTTAATCATCTGGAGTTAACTGTATCTGAAGAGAGATTGCATGGCAGAGGGGCTGAGTAGAGCAGGATACTAGATTCCTTCTTTTTGGTACCAGAAAGCTTTATACGGAGCTGTCTGGTGTCCCTTGCTGAGGTTTAGAGAACAGTGTTTATTACCACCAACTCATTGCTTGAAAATACAGTAAGGGTGTTTTCTTTGAACTCACTGAAATGCAGCAGTTTCTAGGAGAGAAGATAAATGGGAAGGGTAGAGAACACACAAAGAAGTCTTCAGATCTCCATCGCTGACACATATTCAATTTGTCTGACAGTGTTAGAAATGTTGCCAAGGCAACATTAGAAGCCAAAGATGCAAAGTGTCAGAGCAACCTGAGAATCCTTTTAGCTGAAACCCAGCAAATTTGTTTCTTTCCAGTAAAAGCTTTTAATAGTCACTCTGCTTTTTTACAGAGATGGATGTCAGAATGCTGCAGTTGCCTACCAGGTGCAAATGGTGCCCAAGCTCATTTTCCTCTTCAGTGATCCTGAAATCAGTAACTCCAGGATTACTGTGGCCTGCACTATTCTCTCCCATCTGCTGCAAGGATACTTTAACATGAGGGATGTTCTTAGGTAACTTTCAAGTCTATAGCTTTTTCTCAGTTTGCGGATGAGCTATACCTCTGCCAGTTTTGGAGCACTCTATAGTAGAACTTCCTTCACCTTATCTTTGGTAGGAGCACCCATATCTTTGGCAACTGAAGGATCCCCACAGATGAAACCCTCTTTCACGCCTTCAAAACAGCGTTCAGTCCAACCTTACATTTGTGTGAAGATGGCTTGGGTGATGATCATTACAGTTATGGTACAAATGATTCTGCTGCTATGACTGGAATTGGTCGAAGTCTGTACTTTGATTTCACTAGAGCCTGCCTTGAAAGTATTGCAATCTCTGTATTATTGCAACTTGGCCACAGTCACTTATGTACCTAATCCTCTTGGTTTGGCTTATATCCCAGTAACTATCATTTTTGTTCTTGAATTTCAGTCTGTTAAGATATGTTACTTAGGATTTCTTTAAATCCTTGGTTGCATTCCCATGGAATGTAAATGCTGTTCCATTTTATATTCCTAGTCTAGTTGCATCAGCCTGTAGCCTATGAACTGAGGAAGATCCACACAATGCTGTCTGCAGCCACCTAACTCCAGGGAAATGCACTGCAGAAATGACAGCTCTGTTTTTAAAGTGCTTTGTCCAAATAAACCATAGAAACAGAATTGCATGTCAAACCTGTGGTCTCTGCAGTCAGCCTTTAGCTCTATTGAAGAGTATAAGCACCTCAAGTAGTTTCTGTGGAGTAAGCTAAAATGTAAACTTACTGCCTGCCGGCTGTTTTGTGGAATTACCTGTATGCATGTTCCTATCCTGGGCTTGCATGAGTTAACCTATTCTTTTTTCATACAGGTGTGAATAGTGGATTTAGTATATCAAATTTGCCATGTAGTAAGGTGTGTGAATGAGCATTTTGCGTAAAAGATCATGATTTGTTATTCCATGGTAATTTGATTGGGTGTCAGGCCTAAGAGTGCTGAGCAAGGGGATGAAGACAGTCCCTATCCTTTCAGCTCCAGGACAGCAGAGACTATAGCACGTTTTCAGCATCACTGAAAGGTGCCGGGGTTTCTGCTGATCCCAGACTTTTGACACATCTAGTGGATGTGGACACACCTAATGCATGCAGAACAAGTTGTGTTCTGTCCCTTAAGAAATGTCCTTCTTGTGGGCCTGAGGAGTTATGCACTTCCAATAAATGTGTATGTCACATTATCCATCCTTAGAACCTTACCTTAGGTAATGTGTTGAAGCAAACTACAGGTGAAAATAGATTGCCATTCCTCCCTGAGTATCTGCTGAGATTTCTCTGCTCTTCTTTATGTGCTTGGAAACCAAGTGATGACAGCAGTGGTATCTGAATGTCACGGGCAATTCAGCGTCTTTTGTGTGAACAGAGTGCTAAACTCAATATTCCTTTCCTCATAGTGAAATATCTTTAAAATCAAGAAATAGGTAAAAATGTTTCCCTAGTAAAATAGCTGTTACTTGCATTTGTAGATAATGTCCTTTTTATTTGCTTCCTAGAGTATGAACTTTTGCATTCCTATTTCAATTCTATTTCTACAGTGATCAGAATTTCCAATGGTTGTTACTAACAATCATTGTTAATGAGTACCGATATTTGCATGTAATCTCAAAGTAATTAAATGAATGTTTGCCTTTCTGCTGACCAAAATTGCTTCCCTCTTTCTCTGCAAGGATTGGATTGTTCCTTGTTTACACTTTGAAACCTTCTTCTGTGGATGAAAATCATATTTGCCTGGATGGTGAGGCTGAGATGCTGAATGAAGGTGAGAAGCTACCATTGATGTATGTGTTCTGATAGATTGCTAAAGTACTACTCTTCTTCCCTGAGTCATGATGAACCCTAGATGCAACATAGTGTTTCTTCCTCCAGTGGCAGGAAGAGGCAATTCAGATGGGGCTTCATCTGGAAAGGGACAGGCTGCATTGAGGTGACCTGCAATTGTAGGGA